TTTGTAAGCAAAGTATATTTCTGCTTGCGATCTTTTTGATGTTTTTCCTTCGCACATACGAAAACTTTGTTAATATATCAAGCAACGCGGACGAAGTCGTGGGTATCAGCTACTTGAAGATAAATGTAGCCATCTGCCACATCACCCACTTAACATTGGATGGATTATGTGTCTGTGTTCAACCTACTATAAAAACCTTCTGTACCAAGGAAGCCCAAGTATATTTACGGGCTGATTAGGAGGAGAAGAAAGAAAGTACGTCACTTTAATTGCTCTTCTTCCATTTAAATTCACAAACTTATATATTAAAATTATGAGGCTCTCTAATCTAGTCATTGGTGATACAGAGAGTAATATTACACATATTATTACTTTGCAGATAATTAAAGGTTTTTGCTGTATAATAGGCTGGGTAGTGGCTTTAACACTGTTAATTGCAGGCAGGGTGTTGTTCCTTTCGTCACAGTCCCTGCGAAGGCTCAACCGGCTGGTGTGTCATTCATTAAGCCGGTACGCGTCGGTCTCCAAAAGGTAAAGCGGTGGTGACCTACATCCATTGCTCTGAATAATAACACAGTAACTTACTACAAAATAATACGATTTTATGTATTACTAGCTGTCCCATTCTCACTTTGTTGAGCGTCAAACATTTTTACTTGCGATGAAATTATCTTGTGAGGTTCTTATTACTGAGTATTTAGGATTTATTTTCGGAATTGATTGACAAATATTGTTATTTCACATAAAAATATTATTAATCACAATCAAATATAGCCTATGTCACTCAAGAATAATGTAACTTTCTACTGGTGATAGAATTTTTAAAATCGGTTCAGTAGTTCTAGAGATTACTTCCTACATACAAACTCACAAACTTACAAACTTTACCTCTTTATAATATTAGTATAGATGTGTAGTCAAACAAAACCGTGATTAAACGATTGGGCCGAACAATGTAAATATGATTTATTGATATTGAATGCATGATCCAGGTTTTTGAAAATAATCATATATTGCTTAAAGTTAAAAGTGCAAATTGTACATTGTACTAACCCACTTACGAACACATCATGTTATTTCTAAATGGTTATGAAGCCGTCAGTATGTTGCGTGCACTACATTTCGACGAACTTACGAGGCCTCGAAGTATTTTTTATTTTCCAAACATTTTCAACATTTTCCAAGTATTTTTTATTTCGAAACATGCATGATGTTTCCTTACGATGTTCTCTTAAGTACTTATTTATCACCGAGCATGTGATAAATACTTAAGTTTCAACTAATAAATTTATTGTTGCTGGCGTGGATCGAACTCGAGTTGCTTGCATTGCTCTAAAATACTTCTTTAATCAAATAAAATATACTTTTTTAATAAAATCAAGCAAACGATGTCCTTCCTCCTGTACAGAGATACTACAGAGCCCGCTTTTCGTCATAGCCAATTAGAGTTGAATAAGATGCAGTATAAAATACACAACACCAATTAGAACACAATCACATTTGAAGACCAACAATTTGCAGCTTTTCAATAATGTTAGTTGGATTTAGTAGAATTCCTGCGACATAGTAGTCACAGTCGGAAATTAAAGAATACAGTTAAACTACTCAATTTTAAAAAATCAATAAATACGGGTGCCTTAATTACACTATAGGCCTGAAGGTATTCAAGGACACAAGGTAAGCATCCCTTAGGTAATAATTACAATTATTTATTATGTACATTGACAAAATGTGATATGGTTATTGGAAATTACTATTTAGTTTTGTTAGTCTGTTTTAAGACAGTATTTTGTTAGATCTCAGCAGAACCACTATTTTTGGAAATAGTGGTAAAAGATAAAACAACTTTCAACAATAGTATTTTAACGACAATTTTTTTTCCATATACTAAAGTGTTGGCGGAAACACAACGTCATAAAGCTTCTGCGGTAAGATTTGGATACGGTGCTAGTGACTTATTATGAACAATCGTTGCATATTCAGATCAGATATGATAGTTAAATCTCTTTCAACTGTATAAAATAACCCACGCAAATAACCTACGTAATATTCAATAATATATAAGTATACTAGCTAGCCAGGCAGACGTTCTGTCCTCTCCGACGACTCTGTGTCCTATAAAATTCTTTTATAATTCTTAATAAAAATATTGAGGCTCACTTATAGGGATAAAAACTATCCTATCTCTCAAGTTGGACCAAACTGCACACAGCGTGCCGAATTTCATTGCAATCAGTTTAGTAGTTTAGGAGTTCATCGCGGATGAACAACGTGACATGACGTAATTTTTATATATAAAAATTTTAAATTACAAACTTAAATTAAAAATACGTGATGTTTGCAGATACGTGGTCTTAATTTTAGCTAGTAGTGCAACATTGAGTAGCATTTTGTTCTAACGTGTAATACGGTCGCCAGTGTGGCCTCTTTGTTACAGCTTTAGATTGGACTGCAGATAACAACAAACAGTTATAGACAATAGAACAGGGTGGGGCACATATGTTATCTTCGTAAATATGCATGCACGCTGTATTTTAATTTATGATTTAGTTCATTTGTTGCTCTAAAACGTTATTAAGATTCTATATCTATATATATATATATCCAGATAAAACGTGTGTCTCGTCAGACATAACTCAAAACCTTAAAACGAAATTGTACAACCAGTGTGTGTTGCCAGTGATGACTTACGGATCTGAGACGTGGTTCTTCACTGTTGGCCGTATGAGGAAGTTCAAGGTCGCTCAGCGAGCTATGTAGAGGGCTATGCTCGGGGTTTCTTTGTGTGATAAACTTAGAAATGAGTATATCCGCAGTAGAACCAGAGTAACCGACATAGCCCAATGGATTAGTAAGCTGAAGTGGCAGTGGGCCGGCCATATAGCTCGAAGAACCGACAACCGATGGGGAAGAATGGTTCTTGAGTGGCAGCCTCGTACCGGTAGGCGAAGTGTAGGGCGACCCCCCACGAGATGGAGTGACGACCTGGTAAGACATGGAGGAAGTTGATGGATGCAGGTGGCTCAGGACCGTGCTTTGTGGCATTCCTTGGGGAGGCCTATGTTCAGCAGTAGACTTATGAAAGGCTGTAATGATGATCATGAAAACGTGTGTAATGTAATATTTATTTATGCGTTATGTAAATAAATAATTACTTATGTTTAATCTCACGGACTACTATGTTTAGGGTTCAATTCTATATAAAATAAGCTTAATATTTTATCTCCGACGAAGTTTCAAGTTCATCTTACCTTTTTTAGCGTAAATAATTAATCAACCCATTTCATCCCGTGTCATTTTGACCGCCAATTTTTCTGCTAAGCGTAGTGATAAAGCCATATTCTCAAAAAAAACGGAAAAGGCCAGGGTTCTGACTATAAAGCTACTAATTCCTCATGTTACGAAATCGTAATTTCGCAACGTACAAGCGATAGTAACATAATAGTTAAGGGTGTCGACTGCGAAACAAAAATTCGAGGATTCTAATCTGCAATTCCGCCTCTGCTAGCATCAGCATTTCAAGCTTAGTTGCAGTGATTAGCTGCAGCATCAGTCCTATTCTGCTTATGAGTGCGTTTGGGTCACACAGGAAGCACACAGAGGCCCACTTATCATTAGGTGGACTGCACTTCTAAATCTATATAGATTTAAATGTACAGTCCACTTGAATATGCACCTAAATCTAGCTTTCATTAAGAATTAAAATGCAGATGCGTTGTCACCTCTGAGGAGTAAGTTAGAATGCCTTGTTACCAATAAAAAAAATCAGTTATCGTCACTCGTCAATCGCCTTACAAAACACAGCAGCAGTATGCTGTTATTTCATCTTAGTATTGTTTATATATTATAACTGTACGACTGTTAATATAGTATATATTATTATTATTACAGTTAGCATGACTCTCTCGTTGGTCTAGTGATCGAAAACATGTGGTCCCGGGTACATATCCCTGGTTGGGCTAACAAGGATTATTGAGTTTTCTGTCAATAAATTTCCAGTAGCAGCCCGGAGTCAGGAATTTGGCAACCTTAGTGCCTCGAAAAGTACTTGATCCTGCGCTTGATCTGTCCCATCGGACTATGAGAGTAAGGAAATAGACAGAGCACCTGTGCTAGCGCACACTATAACCCTGTCCAGTGCAGATGGCTACTCTGCGTTGAGTTTGGTTGCTGCGATCGAAATTTGGTCTGGAGTGTATTATTATTCTGTGCGTGATTTTCCAGTCGAGATAATCCATTTGTACTGCAATAATACGCTACTAATGATACTAATACGCTTCATCGATACCTTACTTTTCTGTCGATAAACTGCTTTCTTATAGTGAAAACAGCGCAAGTAATTAAAGTATACGTGGTAGAGACATGCTGCAGCTATATTAATAGTATAGTTGTAGCACGAAGGGGTCGGCTCAGCCGTGGAAGGACCACGCTTTCACAGAAAACCAGCGTAAAATAGCAACTTAAAGCTGCTGTGTTTCGTATGGTGAGTGTAAAGAACCGGAGACCCTTTTTATTGGCAACGAGGCATCCCATCTTAATCCTCACGGGTGACAACGCATCTGCATTTTAATTCACAAACGTGAATAGATGTGTGTTTGTGTGTGTTTCATGTGTTTATTGGCTGAAGAAGCTGCTTATTCATAGGATAGATTACTAGGTTGTTTGTCAAACAAAAAATAATAGAACTTTCTGAAGTTGGTCTGAGACTTTAGATCCCAAGTTTAATGTGACTTAATAACAAAAAAATAATGTTCCAACTAAATGATGATGATGATGAATAATGAAAGTGATTAAGACAACTATTTCTGGTAGAATATAAATAATAAAAGTTCTTTCAATATATTATTGCTTATATAATGTATAATTGTTATTTATATTACGTATAATAATTACTTACATTAAAGTATGTTGATAATTTTTTTTAATATACGTTAAAAATTATTCTCAAGTTACCAAATTCACCTTCGAATACTGATCAGAGAATCGCAATGAGCAAGTTGTCATTCGACAACTTCATAGTATATCGTGCCTTTGATTGAAGAGCCCTCTAGCTCCACTGTCTGGAAACAAATAATAAAATTTTGTTGTTATTTGTGATGTTCCCTCTCATTTTTGTGTATTTTTTCTACTTATATTATATTGAGCCAGCGCTTAACTACAATTCCACCTGATGGTAAGTGGTGATGTCGCCTAAGATGGTGAAGCGCACTGACTTAACAAAAGCCTATTGACTATTGCCTTGAAGACACCCACATTGTAAGTAATCGGATGGAAACACAGATGTTGGCAACTTATTCCACTCCTCTCCACTCTATGTATGTGTACTTATGTACTGTATTGTATTTTCTCTATTTAGTACTACAAGACAGAATATTAAATAGAGATGACACTTTTAAATATGCCAATTGACTTTTGTTCTAGATTAGGGAATTAATAAATCTGGATCCATAATTCCTCACGGTTCTGTCGGACAAAACTTTTTTTATTATAGAATAATAGCGATAAACGAGTACACAGTCCACTTGATAGTAAGTGGACACTGTGGCCCGTCGACATCTACATTTATCCTCAATTAAGAATCAAAATGTAGATGCGTAGTCACCCCTGAGATGAAATGCCTCGTTTCCAGTAAAAAGGATCTCCGGTTCTCTACACTAATCATTTGAAATACAGCTACATTAAGCTGCTATTTCACGCTGGTATTCTGTGAGAACGTGGTCCTACTGCGGTCAAGCCGATCCATTAGTGCTACAGCTATAATATAGCTGCAGCGTGGTTTTGCCACGTATGATAATTTACTACTACATGTGGGCCTTACTTATTAAAATCGACGTTATTTTAAAAAGGTCGGAAGGCTTAAAGTTGCCTTCTCTCTTTCAATAAATATAGAGAAAACACAGATATAGAGATAATACTTAATTTAAGTTAGTGATAATCAACGATTATAATTATAGTCGTATGTTTAAAATTCTACTTAAAACACGTATTAAATACAATTCTAAGTAAAGCCATAAACCGATGCAAACTTTTACATAGTATTAAGTTGATCAATAAATTTTTGGAAACGCAATGAAACTCTAGGATAGAAGTATATGTAAATTGTATTTATTTTTCAACGTAATCGCCTTTTAAGCTAACACTCAGAGGTCACTTGAAAGAGAAGGCCAAATTTGCCTCTAAAAAGCTTGGCGTACTCAGCAGAGCGGGACAGTATTTCATGCCGGCACACCGCCTGCAACTTTACAAGGCGCAGATTCGGTCACACATGGAATACTATTACCATCTCTGGGATGGATTACCCTAGTCCCAGCTCCTTTCACTTGACCGCGTCCAGCGCAGAGTGGCTCGAATCATCAACGACCGAGTCCTTTCCGATCGACTCGATTCACTGGCGCTGCGAAGAGATGTTGCATCTCTGCGTATTTTATCGCATCTACCACGGGGAGTGCTCTGAGCAATTGTTCGGACTAATTCCAACCGCTCAATTTCACCATCGCACATCGCGACAAAACTCGCGATACCATTCATACCATCCGGATGATTGGCAGTCCACCACTGTGCGATTTAGAAGATATTTTCTTCTTCGCACAACTTCCTTGTTGAATCAAATACCACCAGCGATTTTTCCGGACCGATACGACTTCAAGAAAAGAGCCTACTGCTTTTGAAAAGGCCGGCAACGCACCTGTCATTCCCCTGGTGTTGCAGTTGTTTATGGGCGGCAGTAGTCTCTTACCATCAGGTGAGCCGTATGCTCGTTTGCTCCATATCCTACAAAAACAAATATGGTTTTTATAGGATAGGTGGCCGGAGGCCCCATTAATCAACATGATGGCGGAACTAAAGAAAAGACTACCCCAGGAGGGTACCAGCACCACAGGAGAATCCCTTGCGAAGCATCCACGACCAAACTACTCCACCCCTGGGCGTGGGTTCTCAAGCTGCCCCACGTATTCTGGGGGGAGGGGGGGGGCAAAATTCCGCTTGCGAGTAATACTGTTCTGGGCAAGCGGAGCAATAAGACTAAGGCGACCCATGTCACGCTATACGTGAATTTTTGCAACATCAGGGGACTTCATTTCAACCTTAACGCTGTCCATTACCATCTAGAGACGACGATACTTCATATCTCTCCTACTCGGGCTGCGGTATGCGTATACGTCAGAGAGGACATCTGTTTTCGACGCCTCAGCAGTTTTGAAGGTACGGACCTGTCCATCCTTTGGCTGCGCGTAGACAGCGACGACCATCCCCGCGTCTACGGGTGCCTCTATAGGTCCCATATCGGTAATACCGACACAGACCGAATTATCGACCACGTCCAAATGGTTCTTTCCGATCGGCTCGATACACTCGCACTACGTTACATTTACCACGGGGAGTGCTCTGAGGAATCGTTCGGACTAATTCCATCCACACAATTTCACCATCGCACATCGCGACAAAAGTTGCGATACCGTCCATACCACATGGATGATTGGCGGTCCACCACTGTGCGATTTAAAAGATGTTTTCTTCCTCGCACCTTGTGGAATCGATTACCACCAGCGATTTTTCCGGACCGATACGACTTAGGGACCTGCAAGAAAAGAGCCTACCTTTTTAAAAGGCCGGCAACCCATCTGCAATTCCCCTGATGTTGCGGTTGTTCATGGGCGATGGTAGTCTCTTACAATCAGGTGAACCATATGCTCGTTTGCCCCGTCTCCTATAAAAAAAAAACACCTTGAATAGCGATTTGTAAGTTGGTTAATTCCCTTGGAAAAAAGTCTTGATCCTGGAACTCGAAAAAGGCCATACTACAGCACAAATCATTTTATCCATCGTATTTTATAACACGCAAATGGTTTTTCAGGTGCGTAAATAGTTGAAAATCACTCAGAGCTAGGTGGCGCCTGCAACATCAGATCGATAGGCGGGGACATTATCATGATGAAAAAGCACTCCAACATCCAATTTTCCTCGTTCATTCTTTAGTTCTTCGCGTAGTCTTTTGATTAATGATGCGTATTAATCTTCGGTTGTCTCTTTTTTACTTAAATAGTCAATAACTCAGTGGCTTAGCACTCGCTGTAAGTTTAAAAGTATAAGAGAAACCTGGGTTCGATCCCCGCCGGCACCAATGAAATATTGAGTATAAAATATCTTTATTTTCTTCTCTTTGTCCATAAGGGATCCATAAGGGATGGTCACCACCAATGTAATAGCCCATTACAACAACACTAGATATAATCCCTCCAATCCATTTTATAAGCGAGGTTATCGAAAAAATATATTATATGCACTACGTTATACGTCTGTCTATCTCCATCTAGTAGAGATAGGCTCCTTACTTCACCACTGAAGAACTTTAATTTGTTTTGGTTTTTGTTTGTTGATAAGTTGATAAGTTATATCAGATTCAGATTGTACATCTATACAAATAAATAAGAAGAATTGAAGTGTTTGTTTGCAATGTGGAAATAACAGCTTTTTACTATGTTTTAGACATGGTAGAGCCATGCTGCAGCTATATTATTGTTGTAGCACGAATGCGTCGGCCCGACCGGGGAAGGAGCACGCTCTCACAGAATGCCAGCGCAAAATAGCAACTAAACGCTGCTGTGTTTCGTATGGCGAGTGTAGAGATCCGGTAGAGATTTATACTGGAAACGTGACATTCCATCTTAGTCCTCACGGGTGACAACGCATCTGCATTTTGATTCGTAATCGAAGATAGATGTAGATGTCTATGGACCACAGCAACCGCTTACCATCAGGTGGACTGTGTGCTCGTTTGTGACCCTTATCCTGTAAAAAATATATGCATATAAAAATATATACGGTACTTAAAACAAAAACACGATTTTTAAAATTTTTGTCTATCTTTCTGTCTGTCTATCTGTCTGTTTGTTCCGGCTAATCTCCGAAACGGCTGGACGGATTTTGACCGGACTTTCACTGGCAGATAGCTGATGTTATAAAAAGTAACTTAGACTACTTTTACTTTAGAAAAAGAATTAGGGTTCCGCGCAAAAAATAAAACCCATGAAATCTAATCGTAATTAATTACACGCGGGCGGAGTCGCGGGGAATAAGTAGTGACATAATATAATTTCAATATCCATAGTTAATATTATTATTGTATTCAAATAATAATAATTATTATTATATTCATATTGAAGCTTTGCGTCTATTTGGTTGTAATAAATAAGGATATAATATATTTACTAATAGTTATTCCCCGCGACTTCGCCCGCGTGGAATTTACTACGATTTTATGGGTTTTGATCTTTTGCCCGGAACCCTAATTATTTTTCTAAAATAAAATTATCCCAAGTTACTCCTTATAACGTCAGCTATCTGCTAGTGAAAGTCCCGTCAAAATCGGTCCAGCCGTTTTGGAGATTAGCCGGAACAAACAGACAGACAGACAAATTTTTTTAAAAATTGTTTTTCTTATTATTACCATATTATATACATTCATTACATTATATTTAGTAAAAAGCTGTTATTTTAACATTACAAAGAGACACTTAAAGTTTATTTATTTGTATAGAATATAGACTAGGAATACGCATAATATTATTATTATACGTAGTCCTTTGCATTATTTCTACTTATAAATGATACTCGTAAAACTAATTCGAAAATAAATACATGAACTATAACATTTGTTTTGTATAAATTTATAGCAAAAATGACTTTGAATTCTGTTAATGTTCCTAGTTATTTGCCACGTCCTTCTATTTATATAATTTAAAATTTTGTACAACCGACTTCAATATAAATTATTAAGAATAGCTCAAAAACTATTGGTCTGACCTCGATCAATCTTTTATATGGGACTACATGGGAAGCACCAGATTTCAAATAAAAAAATAGTCATCGAAATCGGTTCACCCAGAAAAAAGTTATAAGGTACCTAAAACGCATAAAAAACATACAGTCGAATTAAGGACCTCCTCCTTTTTGAAGTCGGTAGATGCGTCTTATAACGTATTAGCTTTGATAAATTGGTTTCTGTTATACACTCGTGTGGAATTTATTTAGAAATTAGGGCGTGTGAAAAGCAAACATGTTATATAAGAGATAACTAGTATCAAACAAATTTGTAGCTTTTTCAGATTTCAACATAATCTTCATTTAATAAATTTAAATGACGTCTGTTTATAAGTTAATTATTAAGATTAAGTTATTGTAAATGAAGTTTCCAGTTTAAGTGATATTAGTGACATTGCTGTGCCATCTACCGATATAATTAGTAAACTTATATTTGTATTAATCGCGAAAAAGTATCTTTTTAAATCCTTATTATGTCTACAGTATGCTGGATTACGCATATGCAGCCTTCTTTTTTAAGTTATTTGCAGATGTCTAGGGGATCTAGTGGCCAGTTAATCTAATTTTATTACAGGTAACTTATATCTCAATAAAAGTTGTTAGGGTATAAGTAAGCATTGCAAGTACTTGAATTAAAATTAATTCGACGACGTGTGTAGCCACAGGCGTGGAACAGGGTGACGGATATACTTTACTGCGTTCCAAAAAACTTTCGAAACTGAATAGAGTTCTTTATTATTAAAAACCTAAACTAAAAAAAATAGCATAATATATTACTATAAAATATGTCGAAATTTGCATTTTTTCTTGCTTTAAGTCAATATTTAATATAATAACTGACATAATAAATATTGTTGCTAGAGAGACATAGTAAGACGTTGCGAAAAATCAAAGTTAAGATTTCAGATATTTTTATAAATATATAGAAAAGCGCGTTGTATTTAGTTCCTTTAACTACGTTTTTCCTTTTAGGTCTTGGAATGTGATAAATATTGTACTAAAAACTTAAAAAGTTGCAGTCTATATACGTCGCACAGGCCTCATTTCTAAAATATGATAGCCGCGCTATACAGCGCTTGCAACACTTTACATATCCACAGAATATTTTATTTCGGTGGTTTCCTGCACCGCTTCACTGGTGGCGGCGGGGATCGAACTTGGGCAACTACGAAGTTTACTGTGAGCGCTTAATGCCTGAGGTACGACGGCTTTACTTAAATTTTGCGTAAGTTTTAAAATGATAAAAATAAGTTATAAAAATTAAACAGCAAGGCGTCGAAGTACTTACATTTTAAACGAGGCTGAATTCACGAAACCAAACCTTTGTACCAAGGTTTCACTTCCAAAAGTAAACGAGGTATTGTAGTTAGGGTCTCCATGCTTTTGTGAAGATTTTAATAACATAACATCTTTAGACGTGGTAGAGCCATGCTGCAGCTATATTGGTAGTATAGTTGTAGCACGAATGGGTCGGTTCGACCGGGAAAGCTCTCACAGAATACCAGCGTAAAATGGCAGCTTGACTCTGCTGCGTTTCGTATGGTGAGTGTAGAGAAGCGGAAACCCATTTTACCGGAAAAGAAGCATTTCATCTTAGTCCTCACGGGCGATGACGCATCTGCATTTTGACTCTTTATTGAGGATAAATGTAGATGACTATGGGTCACAGCAACCACTAACCATCAGATGGGCTGTGTGCTCGTTTGTCACCCTATTCTATAAAAAAAATATAAATATAATGACAATGGCTTTTATAAAGTACAACGCTGCAGAGAAACCCAAAAGGGATTTTTTTTGGTTTTTTAGTTTCGTTTAAATTGAGAGAGATTTTTCTATAGCAGTGATTCCCAGTCAGTGGTACGCAAAAGCTTAAATATGGTCAGCGAAAGATTTAACTATTTTACCCACCGAATCGTTTTAAATATCACATTTATTATTTACTCGTCACGCGGACAGTGTAACACCACGAGTGACTTCAGTAAGTACCTAGTAGCTTTTACAGTAAATACACAAATAATAATGTTATGGAATGATTATTTTCAGTTTAATAAATAATTATGTTAAAAGTTGTGATTATAATTTAGTGTTAAAAAAAAATTGGTTTTTCATTCACCTTGTGCTCCCTCCTAACAACCAAAAATCCAAATGGTCCCTGGTCAAAAAGGTTGGGCAACCCCACTGTATAGAGTAAATAATATGATTTTTATTCTTCTACTTCACTGGCCAGCAAAACTAACCGCTAAATTTGAGCATCAGGAAGATTTGCTATTATTGCTACCCCTGCAACCCTGGTGGATTGGCAAACGTAGTACCTACCGTCTTAGGCGGCTTCTTTTGTCGCCACCAGATCGCGTTTATTTTTTAACGACTTCAAAAAGGGGGAGGTACTCTATTCGACTGTATGTTTTTTATGTGTGTTACCTCATAACTTTGTTCTACGTGAACCGATTTCGATGATTCTTATTTTATTTGGAAGCTAATACCTCTCATGTGGTTCCATTGATCAAGGTCTAACCAATAGTTTTTGAGTTATGTTTAAAAATATATATGTTGAAGTCGGTTATACAATTTTTTTATTTTAAATTATTAATTGCGTCGTCTTAAAAATAACTATGTCTTATTGGTGGATACACGGACAAATTTTAGCGCAGTATTTGAAAGCTTATAATGTCTCAAGTTCATCGGTCGTGTAGTCACTTTAATCAATTTGTCGTCATCGTGCAGGGCTTGATAATGCAGTTTGTTTATAATTTATGTAAGTGTATTATGCAAGCCGTGAAGTCGTTTGTTGTACAAAATCGACGTGTATGGATCGTATAAATTGAACGTTGTGACACTGCTGGTGGTGGTGTTTTTAAAAGAAATTAAAAAAAATGAGGTGCGAAAAGAGTTGCTTTCGTATTTCACAGTCATTTCATAGTCATCTACATTTATCTTCAATTGAGAAACAAAATGCAGATGCGTTGTCACCCCTGAGGAATAAGATGAAGTGCCTCATGTTCAGAAGTATCTCCGATTCTCCATACTCACCATACGAAACACAGCAGCATTAACCTGTTATTTTACGCTGGTATTCTGTGAGAGCGTGGTCCTTTTTCGGTCGAGCCGACCCATTAGTGCTACAACTATAATATAGCTATATTTAATACTTAAAACAAAATTTATATTTATGTGTAGCGGACACAATTCAAGTTAATATTTTACAAGATACAGAAAGCAGTCCTCTCCGCTTTGGTAAAACCTGATATTTTCTGCCGACTTCCAAAAAGGAGCCGGTACTCAATTCGACTGTATGTTTTTTTTTTTTCGTTTTTTTTTATGTGTGTTACCTCAGAACTTTTTTCTGGGTGAACCGATTTCGATGATTCTTTTTTTATTTGAAAGCTGGTACTTCTCGTGTGGTCCCATATGAATTTGATCAAGGACAGACTAATAGTTTTTAAGTTATTCTTAAATAACTTATATTGAAGTCGGCTGTACAAAATTTTTAATTTTAAATTATCCTTGGCACGTGTTCTTTACGGTAATTTGTTGTAATAATACTTAGATCTAGTTAGAATACAAACTTCTTACCATTTTTGCTCCTGTCTCACTAAATTCCCTTGTGAAGCAGGCTGTTTTTCCGTGAGGCATTCTAATTGTTTGTTTCATTATGTTGTCACTTTCCAGCTGATATAAGACTTCAATCTAAAAATAAAAAAAAACATGCGTGGGTATCGTGGTACACTCGGTTGGAACGAAGTTGCTTTCGTAGTATATTATTATTGATAAACGTATTTTATTATTGATTAACAAACACAAATAAATGAACTACTAGCGTGTATTAAAATGAAGTGTCATTTGAAATAAAATAATATTTGTTTCATGACAAGATAAGGAAAAGTGCGAGGGAGATGGATATTATTCCATCTTGCTTCCTCATAGCCGCCAAGGCCGTCTACACTACGTCAGAAGGGGTCATGACGGAAAATCTTACACTTTTTGTCGCCTAGCCCTCATCCGCCAAATCCGTACCGTCCAATAAAGAACTTTTGTTCCAAAAATATGATTAAATAACAGCCTACATACGTCTCTCACAGTTACAGGACTCTAATCTCTAAAAGTGTTTATACAATACAACCGTCTTTTTAAAACCAATGTTGGATATAGGCCATTCCGAAAATGAGTCAGCCGATTTTCTAGACGGAGTTATAGGCTGAGAGGCGTTCCATCTCCGTCTTCAGTGGCGACAACGCATCTGTAGTCACTTATTCTCAGTTGGAGTGTTAGGTCACTTGCCGCTTTCATTTTATAAAAAACTGATTAATTAGAATCACAATATAAATCACAATCACAGTCACATATTATATTACATGAATTCGCCTATAAACTAAGCAATGTGTTCTTTAATTTTAGGCCAAAAGTATTTTTTTGAAAGGGCTAATTAATATTCAGTAATACCTCTATGGTTAGTTTTACTATTGTGGTAATTACCGAATTATTTCCTGTTACCTAAGATATCCTTTAACGTTTTTTTATTTCAGATTTGGCGATTCATAGATGTACTCCTAAATTTATCTTGAATGATGGGTTAACAGAGTAAATAGCAAGAGATGTATTTATCAGTCTTGCAGTTTTAATCTTAGGATTTACATATTCTTTAATCGCGTTAATAATGTCGGCCTCTAGGTTTGATTCGCTAGCTTGCAACGAAATACGAGTGTTTTTTTTATAGGAGAGGTGGCAAACGAGCATGCGGCTCACGTGATGGTAAGTGACTACCGCCGCCCATGAACAACTGCAACACCAGGGAGGGAATTGCAGATGCGTTGCCGGCCTTTTAAAAAGGAGTACGCTCTTTTCTTGAAGGACCCCAAGTCGTATCGGTCCGGAAAAATCGCTGATGGTAATCGATTCCACAAGGAAGTCGTGCGAGGAAGAAAACATCTTCTAAATCGCACAGTGGTGGACCGCCAATCATCCAGATAGTGAGGATGGTTTCGTTTGGTTCTGCCGCAATGTGCGGCAGAACCAAACGTGATGTGCTGCCCAGAGATGGGAACAGTATTTCATGTGAGACCGAACATGCGCCTTGTAAAGTTGCAGGCGGTGTGCCGGCATGAAATACTGTCCCGCTCTGCTGAGCACGCCAAGCTTTTTAGAGGCCAATTTGGCCTTCTCTTCCAAGTGACCACGAAACTGCACGTCACTCGATATGTCGACTCCGAGGATACCGATACTGGCTGAGGCAAGAAGGGGAGTGCCTTGAAATTGAGGAGATACGACAAAGGGGTGAGTGTCAAATGGCTTTGTTGATACGGTTTGGCGTTTGGCGTCACTTACAATAGTGATACATAACAGTGGCAGAGCCATGCTGCAGCTATACAAATAACATAATTGTAGCATGAATGGGTCGGCTCGACCAGGGAAGGACCACGCACTAACAGAATACCAGCGTAAAATAGCAGCTGTGTTTCGTATGGTGAGTGTAGAAAACCAGAGACCCTTTTTACTAGAAAAGAGGAGTTCCATCTACACGGCTGAGAACGCATCCGCATTTTGATTCGCAAACGAGGATAGATGTAGATGTCTATGGGCCACTGCAACCACTTACCATCAGGTGGACTGTGTGCTCGTTTGTTACCCTTATCCTATAAAAAAATGCTAAACGTACAGTGTATAACCCTCGTACTGATAATGCTTTAATTATTAGTATAATAGACTACTTTTGGTTTCATATTGTTTATGAATGTATTATATGAAAATATTGCAAGTTTGAAATTATTTTAAATTTAAAACTTTCAATATTTTCATTTTTTATTTCGTAAATAAGAAAATTTATTTTCTTTTAATTTCGTATGTAAAACTAAACTTGATAATAGTAAATAATGTCTGAAATAAAAATAAGCTGCGGTGAGAGTTATCACATAAACTCAACAGTACTATGTACGCTAGTAATATATAAGTCAGTGTGTTATTTCGCTGTTCAAAGCTGAATGAACATATTGAGTTTTAAATTGTTTACTTTCCTTTATTTTATCAGATAACAGTAACACTATCTTTACAATCTGAACGTGACTTGGCAATATCAAGACAGAACTACGTTTCTTGGCAAATCTATAACGATTAAAAATTACTAACAATGTTGTAGTACTCAGGAATATTTTAAACATTATAAGTGTAATGATGATTTAAGTTATAAATTCTTATTCGTAACTATTTTATATTTCAAATAAGTACATTTTCAACTTTATAAGGGTATATATTAAACTTTATATAACATAAAATAACGAACGATTTCTAATAGCATCGTAGATATTATTTTAAAAATGCATACTGCGATAACTTTTTACGGTTTTATGTTTTTTTGTTACTTCTTAGGGTCTTTATTAACATTAGACTGATTTTTAACGATATTATCTAACAGTTACGTAAAAATCAGCTACGAGAATTAACGTGAGGTGGGTAATATTTTTACGTACCTTGATTACCTGGTACCTGGAAAATGGCACTATGGCCAAGCTAGCAACTAGGCATGCGGTCATAGTATACTAACACTACTCAATAATACACATTTCGTTCGTTATAAAATAAGTGACGTCCGGTGGCCCTGGGATCTTGGATCACAATACTTGTATTATCGGGATGTATATCAGCAGCCTAAAAGACCATTTAATCCGTCTTTTTTATATTATATATGAGTCTAAGATCAGCAGCATATACCTCACAAACTCTCAACATCTATTTTAGACCTAAATTTAATACAGGAATTTTAAGCTTTCACTATTAATATATATATATATATATCTCTAAGCACCGATGGATTTTGGGAACTTCACATTCTTATGTAACAAGAACAAGGATTTCGGGTTTTCTCCTTTTACCCGTTTCTTAACAAACATGTTCACCTCATCTGAATGTGTATGCCGAAAGGAAAAAGTAAACGTACAAAGATACGGCATTAAATTTAAGACAATAAATATTTCAAGCGCACTTCATTTGACAGCTTGACTCGTGTGAATTGTTTTTTTTTTTTAAATTAAGTACAATTAACAATCTACGATTCAGCCAAAATCAGACATTGTATTTAAAAGTGGTAAGGTCCAAGTTAGTATGTATTTAGAATTAAAAATTGATAAAAAATAAAACGATCCAATATGTTTCTAGAGCACAGGGTATTCCATATCGCAGTAGATGTAGGTGGCACTAGTTTGTCTATTGGAATGTAATGTCTGATTTATTTTTCTGCGTCGGATGCGAAATTTGAGTAAGTCACCTCTAGGCATTCATCATTTATGAAGAACTAAGACGATGATGATGATGACGAGGTTGCAGCGGGAACTTACCCTCAAGCGGAATTTCGCTTCTGTCTACAGTTAAAAGTGAATTTTCGTAAAATATAAACAGGTGTGATTTTAAATATCTTTCAATTTGAAATATTTGTGGGAACATGAAAGAAAAGGTTCGATTGCGATATACCGATATAGATTTTTACAATATATTATGTAATGTTAACACATTACATATATTGTAAAAATCATTTACAATTTCTTGACACTATTTTTTGCCACTGACGTACGTACCCATTACCGAATTTTTTTTGCTCTTGGTTTGATATTCTATTCTTTTGATCTGTGGCGACCATAACACTAGTATACTGGCACAGGATATAAGATATTTTTTATTTATAACTAACAGTGATAAAGACCACACAGTCCATCTGACGGTAGGTGGATACGTAGACCCATAAACACTCCATATTTTCCACGATTAAGAATCAATATGTAGATGTGTTGTCACCCTTCAGGATTAAGGTTAAAATTTTACTAAACTCTCTTTTTACTTTCCATATTATATATTTTTTATAGAATAAGAGTGACAAACAAGCACACATTCCATCTTAGCAAATAAAGATTTCATTTCATTACATTCATTTCATTTCTTGGCGGAGACAGGCGATGAAAGTTACAGTCTATATATACGTTCCACTGTGATTCCACTAGGCAGGCATGGCCTCCTTTCTATCTATGGAGTAATTACTAAGCCACGCTACTTCAATGTGTGTTTGCAGGATTCACTTGTACTCGAAATACGTCGTGTGTAGTTTTACTCATTTTATAATATAATATTAAACATTTTTAGTATGACACGCAGTCGTACACACGGTCGTTTTTGACGTTGCTCGTCCACGCGCTATGAAAAAGAACGGACCTGCGCTGTGGTTTCAGCTACTACATAAGCTAAGTGAGGTCCATTTTCCCAACGTGAAGTCGGTTGAAAATGGAAGTGCGCAGCTTTGAGGTGGACCTAGGGACATCCGGAAATCTCCGCGCTTCAATTGCAAGTAAAACATTACTTATTATTTGTTGACAGTCAAATTACGGGTATAAGAGTAAAAGAGAGACACAGACATACACAGGAGAATGTGACTCGTGTGTCGAAAAATAATATTTGTAATTGAAAAAGTAACAGGTGCGTTACCAGCCTCTGAGGTAAAATCTGTTTTAAAAGGTCTCTAATTTACATCGGTCCAGAAAAAGCGCCAGTAACAGCAAGTTCTATAGGGATGTAAAATTGCAAAAGATGAAATGTCTCGTCGCAAGGCCAATGGATGTTCAGTATGATATTTTATCCTTATACCAATATGTTGCCAACAACATACGTATAAAAACAGTCGTATAAAATTAAAAAAAAATATGCAAACAATTTATCTGTTAGAAATTGACCTACAGTGCTGAGAAGTTAGACAAAATTCAAAAGAAATTTACATTTTGACACAATTTTATTAACATAATCCTATTTTTTGTTCATTTATTTTAACAATAACATCATCATCATTACAGGCCCTTCATGAGTTCACTGCTAAACATAGGCCTCCCCCAAGGGAATTTACAAAATAAGGTAATGTGGTACCTGCACCCATCTTTATATTATCCATATCCATCCATATGTTATTAAATTTAGTAGTAAAAGGAATAATTTAAAATTAAACTTTTTGTACAACCGATTCAATATAAATTATTAAGAATAGCTCAAAAACTATTGGTCAGACCTTGATCAAATTTATGTGGGACCACATGTGAAGCACCAGCTTTCAAATAAAAAAAGAATCATCGTAATCGGTTCACCCAGTAAAAAGTTATAAGGTAACACCAAACACACATAAAAAACATACAGTCTAATTCAGTACCGTCTTCTTTTTGAAGTCGGTAGAAAATATTTTGCTAAACCTGTATGTTTGAATTGGAGGACATGAAGTCCGCTGAACCAGCATCCCAGACTCCTTTCGGCCTTATTATCCTATCAGAAATAAGAGTATGGCCAGCAGTGTGGCGTTATAATGTTGTGCTATTTGACTTTATAATATACACGCTACCTTACTTCCATCTCGCCTTTGCACTTCGTTTACTTCCCCCACCTTGAACATATAAGAGTGATGTTTTTTGTCGGCCTCCAGTGTGAACATGAAATTTATGTCATCTATTTTAGTGAAAGATATAGTAGGAGGACTGCCTTTCAAAAACCGTATCACTTCCTCGCTGGCATCTGCAATAGTTTATTTTTTTCTGTTATAAAATTTAATTATTATATAGTATGATGCAATCTATACAAATAAATAAAATTGAAGTGCCTGTTTGTAATGTCAAAATAACAGTTTTTTTACTAAATCCATATGAAAGTATATACGGTACATATAACAAAAACACAATTTTAAATTTTTTTTGTCTGTCTGTCTATTTGTTCCGGCGGGCCGATTTTAACGGGACTTTCACTGGCAGATAGCTGATGTTATAAGGAGTAACTTAGGCTACTTTTATTTTAGAAAAAGAATTAGGGTTCCGCACAAAAAAGTTAAAATCCTAAATGACATGCAGGCGAAGCAGCGGGGAACAGCTAGTGTGAAATAAAAATTTCGTATGAAATAAAAGGCAACACTTTTTTTTAAGCATTTTTTTAGGATAAGGGTGACAAGCGAGCACGTAAGTGGTTGCTGTCGCCTATAGACATCTACATCTTTCCTCGTTTGCGAATCAAAATGCAGATGCGTTGTCACCCGTGAGGACTAAGATTGGATGCCTCTTTTCCAGTTACAAGGGTCTCCGGTTCTCTACACCCACCATACGAAAAAGCAGCACTAAGCTGCTATTTTACGCTGGTATACTGTGAGAGCGTGGTCCTTCACCGGTCGAGACGACTTATTCGTGCTACAATAATACAATTAATATAGCTGCAGCATGGCTCTACCACGTTCTTTTCACTTTTATCGCAAAACACTGGCTGTAAAATTCAATTCACTAGTAATAACTAGCTTTATACGATACTTCCTATCGTAAAGAATTATTTCGTCTTTTAAACACAAAGAAAAAAACTAATGTCACTCACTTGTCGAATTTAATAATTCATCTATATTCTCACAGCGTACTCGCTTAAATTTTTTACCCAAAAACCACGACATACTCGTTTGAGACTGAATTTCCCTAAAACATCTATAAAAGACTCACAACAGTACGAATCAGCCGGTCGTATATCAATTTGTTACGTCGGCAGCTAATGCCTGATAAGATTTCGCAAAGTGCTTAGTCATACTGCACCATACAAATATTTAAATATATATGTATTTATTATATTTATAAAATGTATTTCAAATCTAAACATTAAAACTGTAAAAATAATTTATTCTACTAGGTAGCATTGTTGTAGTACAAATAGGTCGGCTCGACCAGGGAACTGTAACTTTCTTACAGAATATCAGCGTAAAATTGTAGTTAAATGCTGTTGCGTTTCGTATGGTGAGTACAAAAATCCGCAAACCCTTTTTACTGGAAACGAAACTTTCCATCTTTGTCCTCAGGAGTGACAAAACATTTGCATTTTTGTTTTTAATTGAGGACAGATATAGATGTGTATGGGCCGCAGCATCCACTAACCATCAGGTGGACTGTGTGCTCGTTTGTCAGCATTATTCTGTAAAATAATATAATAGAATACATTTACAGAAATAGCCACAGACGCATGATCGCAAGATCGCTATCACATTATCTCTACCGAGAGCTACTCCTACTGACCGGGCTGCTTGTTCGTCATAACATTGTAATGTGACAAATTTAAAATTGACACATTAAATTAGAGAGTATTTTTTGTACAAATGAGAGTATCACACTACCACACTCTCTACCTAACGGTAGGTGAATACCCATAGTTTTTTTTACGTGGTAGAGCCATGCTGCAGCTATATTACTGGTATAATTGTAGCACGTTTGGGTCGGCTCGACCGGGGAAGGACCACGCTCTCACAGAATACCAGCGTAAAATAGCAGCATAACGCTGCTATGTTTCGTATGGTGAGTGTAGAGAACCGGAGACCCTTTTTACTGGAAACGAGGCATTCCATCTTAGTTCTCACGGGTGACAACGGCCAATGTGCTCATACTTTGCTCTGGCAATAACTCTTTTGAAGGACTTTGAGGCGACGATATACTTCTTTTTAAGCATGCTGGTTTTACATCCCGAGCCGCCGAAGCCTCACTCCAGGCCTGATAACACTCCTGCTTTCTGCGTAATGCAGTCTTACAGGAGCGACCAAACCAAGGCTGAGATCTGCCTCCAATGGGTACCACAGATGATGGAATAAATAGTTCCATTCCTTGTAGCACCACATCAGTGATAGAATCAGCAACAGCGCTGGGATCATTCAGCAAAAAGCAACCCGCTGCGATGGGTAGGATGCAAAGAAAGACCGCATTCCGTCCCAATCCACCGACCTGTAATGCCAAACACGGCAGCAGCCTGCAGAACGCAACCGCGAAGGGAGCTTGAGTAGCACCACACTCCGGATCAGACAATGGTCCGAAGAGCTGAGAGGGGCATCAAATGAAACCTGAAATTCGTCCGGATGAGAGGTCAGTAGAAGGTCCAATAGGGAAGGTGTATGATCCTCCACATCTGTGATCCACGTAGGCGAAGTAATCAGTTGTGTCAGACCATATGCCAAGGCAAGGTCATAGACATCTCTCCGCATAATCGGTTAAAGGTGAACCGAGACATTTGGCGTGGTAGGCATTAAAATCGCCAAGGATCTATTGTAGCAAGAAATCTGTAATTATTTGGAAGTGGTCGATGAGTCGGTCTGTGTCGGCATTACCGCTATGGGACCTATACAGGCACCCGTAGACGCCGGGATGGTCGTCGCTGTCTACGCGCAGACAAAGGATGGACAGGTCCGTACCGTCAAGACTGCTGAGGCGTCGAGAACAGATATCCTCTCTTACGTATATGCAAACTCTAGCCCTGATCTGATCTGCGCAAAGAAGTGTTCTAATTTGTACCCCGGGTAGGACAGGTACGAAGTATCAGCCGGAGAGGACACCTGCGTCTTGGTTAAAAAGAGCAAGGCCGGCTTCTTTTTTTTATAGAATTAGGGAGACAAACGAGCACACAGTCCACCTGATAGTAAGTTGCTGCTGTGACCCATAGAGGATAGATTGCGAGTCAATAGTAAATTTTGACTCGCAATCTGTCCTCGATTACGAGTCAAAATGCAGATGCGTGTCAAATTAACTTCCCCGCCCGCTATGAAATCTGTCAAATACTGTAGCTCACTTTTAAGTGGCGCCGCCCTGGTGGCAGAAAAAGTCGTGGTTGCCCTCATTATAACAACCTGTGAGTCTTTCTTGTTTTAAGAAGACTGTAGGTCTACAGACCCCAGTAGCTATTTGCGGTCAGCTGGACTGTAAATTCGTTTGTCACTTATGTTTTATATAATAAGCTCAATATGATATTATGTAATGGAATAAATAACACTGCTACTATTAATCGGTATTACATAGATGTATTCTACATTGAATTGACTGGCAGACTGGTCCTATAAAGTCGTTTGGTCTACTATGCCTAGTCAAGGCTAAAGGAAATAAGAAATAAAAAACTGTGCTAATCCATATTAAACTTCTCATAATCGAGTTATACAAAAATGCCATGGGCTTGCGACATCGATAAATATGTAACAGAGCGTGTGACATGTAAAAGCATTCTTGACACTGCAAGCTCCAGTTTCTTTCGTCGGTGAGCGCGCGACCTTGTCGACCACCACCGTTGCAGGGCGGGGGCGCCTATGACTGCGGTCGGTCGCGGCTGTGACGGCACTTGTACTGCGCCGACGAACCGACCAACGCGCTTCCAAACATAAAATACGAAATCGAAAATCGAACGCGATCGGAGATGACATACTGATTGTTCAATTAATAGTATAGATAATGTGGTTGCTTTTGTTTTGTCTTGCCGCGGGCGCGGCTCTTACCGCTGAAGGCGCAGGCGCGGGCGCCGCACGGCTCGTCTGCTACGTTGAGAGTACGCACGCGTCTGATTTTTCCGAGTGCACACATCTCGTTTACACGGGCGACGCGAGAGGAGAAAAACTCGATAATCTGTTGAGAGAGTACAAGAAAAACAACCCCAGGCTTAAGATTATTCTACGAGCCTCCGAAATTGATAAGGTATGTCAAATGTAATGTTTTGTAAACATAGATAACAGTATATTTGTTTGCAAACTTTAACGTGGTTTTTTTGGAAAATGTATTTAGTATTAGTCAGTTTCGAAAGTTTCGTAATGACTACTAAATGTCGGTAAATAATTAAAACTTATTCCCAATTCTCAATTGATTTTATAAACCAAAATAAGCTCCACACAAATTCATACAAAACAGTCACATTAATGACATAATTAATTTTCTGTGATGCATTAAACGGAGCTTAAATTTATTTTATGAGTATATTATTATATATATTTTATATATTATTATATTTATATTTAATACATTATTATATTTATATTTAATATATTATTATATATTAAACATATAAGGACATTTGAACGGATTTTCTCACAATTTTCTAGAATAAGAAGCATTTTCAATATATTAAAATAAATACCTCTTATTCCATATTAATATTTTAAAAATCGCTCGAAGTTATACTTATCTTATACACCTTACACAATTGATATAAAATGAGCCAAAGTTATCCAAGACGCCGCATTACACTTGTTATATCTGTTAGTGTAGAGCAAGTAGAGACAATTTTGTAGGCGGGCGTAGCGCAGAAAGAAAGTTGGAACTATAGACAGAGGTTGGAAACACCGCCGACGCTAATTGACTCCACTGTTGCATTTGTTAATATGTTAATAGCTTACGAGGTTCGTTACTTCTTATGATGTGTCCTTGTTATGCAATGAATAAGTAGAGTGTTTGTGCGTTAAACAGTAACAAAGAGTTTCACATTATAAGATGATGTACTTTTTAAAACACATATGATTGAGTGTTTTAAAGGGCTTATTTTTTTTAAATAACGTTACCTCCACACTAAGATTTTCTCCTGTATGTGGAGGCAGTTTACATACACAAATTTCACAAGGAGAAACATCCAAAACCGGAACAATTATTTGTAGGCCATACAAATACTTTTCCGTGCGAGATTCGAACCCGCGGCTCTTAGCGCTGCAACTCATTGCTGAGCTACTGCGCCACGGAACCGTTATATAAATGTATTTCAATGAAGTTAAGGTTATTTATTATATTTTATTTTAAAACTTGAGCTTTGACTGACCAACATAGATCATTCTGACTTTTGATTAATGCTTTGTTTCCATGTCTTCATATTACTACAATTGAACCTTCTCATTGAGTGAGTGAGTATATATTATGGGTTCAAAAATCGTTCTAGATACTGGATTCTTAACTATGTTGAATCTTTTACCCCATCCCAATATTTAAAGTGTAAAATATTATGTAGCGTTTTATATACTTTTTTGTATTTAGTTTTAAACTACAGAGGTTTTTGTCGGTAAATGGTCCTTAAAATATAAGAAGGTTGAGGTTTTGTACCAGCGTTCATTAAAAAAAAGTTGGTTACAAACGTCCACTTATTATCAAGTGAGCTACATATTTACTCGTTGGTCACTCTATAAAGATATAAAAAGATACATTTTATCTTCTATTTGTTGCGTAGATGTTATGTTACACTGGTCTTTGTACTTTAAATTACAATAAATAATTGACCGTGGAGTCGCAAGATAAGCAGCGACAGAGGGAAATAAAACTGGAGATTGGTAGCAGTCTCTTCCTAATAACAAATAAAGATTAAAATACTTCGTTAACCTATCCATTTGCTAAGCGTGACAACTATGGCAATGACATATTCCCTTCATGAGGCGATCTATGAGTAGGCCTATGTTCAGCAGTGGACTTTTGAATAAGGGACTTTTAAATACACTTAATAGTTTCCCCCATAATCAAGTTGTGCATAAACAGCATTATACGTTATTACTAACGAACAATCTTAATGGTTTCCGTTTGCAATGAGAATGTTGATGATCTTTTACTACGAAATTTATCGGAGAGTTCGATTAAAAACAACCGTAAAATAACCTAAAAGGGGAAACCCGTCAAACTTTTTTATTAAAAG